TGTGTGTGTGTGTGTGTGTGTGTGTGTGTGAGCGTGTGTGCATGTGTGCGTGAGAGAGAGAGTGTGTGTTTCTTCACCATCATAAAGACAAAGCTGATGGTCATGAAGATGTTAGCGATGGCCACCACTGTCTGATCAGCAGAGATGGCTAGAGTCATGGACGTGGCTGTGTACGACACCAGAATGATGGAGAACAAGAAGATGAAGAACGGCTCGGCAGACGCCTTCAGTCCTGCACAGCAAACACAAACACATCAAGCCACACGTCTGATATCAGACGGACATGAATGATGCGATGACGGCGTGAGTCTCACCGATCATCCAGTACGCCACGCAGCTGAAGATGAAGGCCGGGATGGTGCGCAGAGTCAGGATGTCAGACAGGATCTTAGACAGGAAGTACACCGACACTCTGTAGTATCCGCTGATGTACTCGTGCCTGAGGATGAACCGGTTCTTATTTGCCAACTCTAGTGTGTGTGTGTGTGTGTGTCTGTGTTTACTCACACAAACAGATTCCTCTCTGCGATGAAGAGTTCAGCTGAAGAAACAGCGCTGAAGCACTGATTGACGGTGATGAAGAAGAGCACGCCTATCCTGAAACACACACATACACACACTACTAGAGGACACACACACTAGAGGACAACAAATAGGAGTTTTTCAAAATGTATGAGGCATGAAGTACATTAAGTTGCAACACAATTTTACTCTGTAAATTATATTTGAAAACAGAAGGGCTGAAAAGATCACTGAATCACTTCTAATTCAAGCAGAAATGATTCATCTCACAGAAATATTGAAATAATTACAGAACTGGATGAATGCGTTTTCATACCTGTTTTGAATGCCGCTCGAATTATCCTTCACTCCAAAAAATATGACTCCAACAACCAGAGCCAGGAAAATCGTCACTCCGATCTGGAGAAACAATCTCAGATTGATATAGAAATACTAACATCAACCCAAATCAAAACTTCATCTTTATTTTCTTTTAACATTTATTTATATATATTTTTTTTTTTGTTCTTTTCACATATACAGTGGGTACGGAAAGTATTCAGACCCCCTTACAT